AAGTTACTACTGAGTTCTGCCAAAGTGTCGGTGGATGTGGGGGTGTCCTTATCACGGATGCGGATGGATAAGATGTCGCCAATGCCTAGTATGGATGCAATGGAGTCATCATCTGTGTCATGCATGCCACTTTCGTTCAGCGAAGTTAAGGAGGTACAGCCTCGAAAAGCAGACCCCACAGACTTCTCAAGGTTCAAACGAACTCCGAACTCCGGTGACATGCATACAGGCGCCGAGGCAATGGCTGGCTGACTGGTGCTACTTGACTCCGATTGGGCTGCTGCTCTTGCATCAACAGGACTGGTGACAAAGGGAGACTTGGCTGGCGATTTTGATTTGTCCACAGGAAGGCGGGTGGGAGTTTGTGTCTGTACAAATGCACGTCTTGGATGAGGGGGCGGAAGCTGGCTTTGGCTGGCAAAGGGTGCAGTAGACTGGTGCATTGCCTTTTGCGAGTTGCTGTTGTTGTCGGTATCGGTTGCTTTTCCATTCGAGGGAGGCTTTCCCCTTATCGAAGGACACATTTTGTTGGTAATAAAGGTCGGAGGAGTCGGAGGCGACATGGAAGACTCAGAGTGTAGTCCAGGAAAGAGTACACTGAGCATCTGCATATTATCTTTGTCCTTATCCACGAGAGTATCCAACTTTTGAGCAAGAGTGAGCTTTGCCAAGTCATCAAGGGTCTTACGATATTTGAGATACATATCCGAAGCAGCTTGGATGCCTTCTTCCTCTAGCATGCATAGAATCTTGTCAATTGTGGCTTCCCCACCCCGAAGTCGTAAGACAACACGATTGGCATCCACTAAGGGATACGCCTCCCCATCGGTGGCAGATGGATCAACATGGACAAAGCCATCGGCAGGGCCGACAAAGCCATCGGCCCGTGGATTCACTGTTCCATCCTCGGTAACTGTTCCATCCTCGGTAACTGTTCCATCCTCGGGATCAGTACCGGTATGAGCACCAGCGTTGACAGTGCCGTCGGCAATTCCGAGAGTCATCGTCGGATTAGTATTGATCGAGAGAGAGAGAAAATTATGGCAATTTGTTGTTGTTGGAATGAGGAAACTGCGGGAGTTGCTCTTAAATCCATCCTTTCCTTTTCTGCTGCGAGACTTCCAAGGGTTCTCTGCCTGTATAAAATCATCCAACTCTGATGGCTGAAACTCTAAAACCATCTGGATCTATTGTTCCTGTTTTTGCCATGTTATTGTCTAGCTAGGATTCTTCAGGTCTTCTACTAGCTAGAGCTCTGGGACTATTACTAACTACAGGGACACTATTAGTATACGACTCTCTCTCCTCATAAATGGTCATGGCAACGGCGGTTCCATGGATTGATTTTTAAACCACGTTCACAAGTGAAATGCAGGTTTGGCTAGGCCAAAAGTTTGACGCCCCCCTTGGCTGAAGAACAACTGATCAATGTGTAGGGTGGAATCAATCTGGTTGTTACATTTTGACCACTCCTCATAAATGGTCATGGCAACGGCGGTCAGTTCTTTTCAGAGGCCCAGAGTTGCGGTTTGGTGGCTATGAAAGAGGAATCTGTTGTTGCATTTGACCAGAGGTTGATTGTTGGGTATCGTACTAGCTAGCTAGTATGACTTCCAATGGATACATCAATAGTTGCAGGAGAGTTGAGGAACGAATCCATATTATGGCAACACCAACATGGCCAGCCCTCCTGGTGGGCATTGTTGATACCACGTAGTGGCCAGTGTGGGACTTCACTTCACCTTTTTCCAAGAGACTCTCTCTCAGTTCACGGCCAAGGAAAAGGTTCTACATTCTTACTTGGCTGCGGATGCTCCTCCAGCCTTCAGCTTGGATGAGGTTGGCCAACGAACGTGAGGAGATGTGTACTGTAGTGATGATACTGTAATAAATAATTTTGGTAACATGGGGAAACTTACATCAATTTTGATTGAAGAAAAATAAAATGAAATAGCCTCCGGCGTAGCCCGAAGGCGGCATCAAACACAGCTGTCGTTTTGGTTGGTGGTGGATATAAGTAGTGGTAGTCGGTCGGTAGTGGTATCGGTATCGGTAGAGGAAGGAGCATCGGTAGCAGTAGTGGTATCGGTAGAGGAAGGAGCGTCAGTAGACCATAATGCTAGCTGTATGTTGTTGCCAAGAGCCTTGCCCCTACCGAAGTAGGCACTGACTTCAAGGCAAAACAAATAGCGCAGCAATCAAGGGAGTAGTAGTAGTTGTTGTTGTTGTTGGTAGAGGAAGAGTGACAAATGTAGACTACTCTTGTCACGGTGATGATTGTGTCTCACCCCAGACGAAGTACAGCTCTTGCTAACTGACTGCCATCCCATCGTCCATAGGATTCAATGAGGGGTGGCTTTCGCTTCTGCACCGGAGAGGGTCGAGTTGAGTGAGGCTTGATAAATAACAGAGGATAACAGAGGTGCGACCGATAGAAATCCACAAACACTCTTGATAACCTCGAATGATCGATAAAGCACTCACCATTGTCGCCGGTCAAGCTTGGATTTCTCTCCTGTTTACCATAGCAATTAATGCAATGAGAGAGAGATGTCAGTGCTGCGCCTTCAACAATATAATAGACTTACCTTATCGTAATACTACTGTAGTATAGTAGCAGTACAGTGGCGATCGGCCGCTCGCTCGTCCACCATTGTGTTGCTTTTGACGCCATTTGTGGTGTGGTGTGGTGTGGGCAGGAAGTGCTGCCAAAGAGTGGTGAGCAAGCCTGTTTCGTGAAATCTTTTTTTGAATCTTTTTGAATCTTTTAGTGTGGAAAAGCAGTACTGGTACTCTCCAATGCCACTTCCACGCACAGTGTTCCGGTACTAGTAGAGTACCCTACCGGTATCTGGTACGCTGTGAATTTGTGGAGGAAAGATGTGTTGGAACTGAACCTGTAAACTGGCCATTGTGTATTGTGTATTCTAGAGTAAGCTTAATTAAAATAATGAATTAGAAGCATTATTAGGTCATGATTTTGCTAAACAATAGAATTGATGACCACATTCCTACTGGATCCCAGTGTTTGGTTATAGCGCCACAAGCCAAGTATACAAAAGGCGCGGAAGGTGGCTTGAATGAAGATTGGAAGGTCGTGGATACCCTGGCGATGAGAACTTTCGAGTTGGTTGCCACAAAGCAGTCTCTCAGAGAAGAGCGGCTACTCCTGACAGTTCGCCAGTTCGACTGCGTCAACGATAACAGCCTTGTGTAGTCGACTTGATAACAACAGAAGCAGTATATGAATATGTGTCGTCTTGTCTGTGGAGAGAGCTGCTCTCCATCATGCAGTTGCTTTGTTCGCTACCATGACACAGCATGCAATGGCCATGACTGATCTTCACAATGATGCTGCTGCTGCTGCTGCTGCTACCCTCAACAACAGGCCCGACAATGACGCCGAGAATGATGAGTTTGCTGATCGTCCAATGCCTGGCTATCGAGCCATGTAGGTGGTTGAATGAAATGAATGAATTACTGACAACATCATCATTGTGATGTTGTCAGAGCCAATCAAGAGATCGGATACTAATGCCTAGGTTGCTGCTGCTTCCCATGCCTCCAATTCTGTCCTCTTGGCTTCTTGTCTCTTGAGACGATTGTGAGGGTTATTGTTGTTGCTGCTGCTGCCGCTGAGTGGTTGTCGGCTGACGATGAGTGGATGACGTGGATGAAGTGGTACCGGTAGCAGTCGGCTGACGATGGCGCTGTGGAGTGGTTGACGACGACGACGGCCGTTCGTCGACAACAACAACAAGTCGATCAAACTGTTGACAACAAGAGATGAGTGGTTGTGGACTGTGGACAACAACAGATGAGTCAGTGAGTCGAGTCAGTTTGTTTGTGTGGTGGTAATAAGAAAACAAATACTAAAATAGCTGTCAACAGCATACCGGTACAGATAGATGAGTTCAGTCGGAACAGATCGATGAGTCAGTGCTCCTTCAGGAGATACGCCAAAATTTAACCAGTGAGAGACTCAAAGCCTTATTAACACAGCGTGGGAGGAAATGTGCAACCTTTTTTGGTCTCGACCATGACCCCATGCCAGAGCCAACCAAACTTATTGAAAGGGTTGGCATCCAAAAAAGATCCAAAAGATCCGCCACAAATAAATAAATTCGGAACAGGCGCCTTTTATTATTTTGCTATCTAATCTAATCTAATCTAATAATATCATCCAATGAGGTATCGTTCAAGTTCTTGTGTTGCATGGATTCTATGTATATTATGTATACCGCTGCTGTGGGTACCCTGGACCTGCCAAGCCTTCCTGCCAGTGCCGTATACTTATACTACGAGAACTAGCGCCTCAGACCAAAGAATATCTCATCAGTGTAAGACCCCACCAACGGTATTTGCACTGAAAGATCCGTCATCATCATCATCTGATTCTTCCAGTACAAGTAAGTCTGCTTCTACCAGGAGAAAAAAGAAGAGTCAGAAACGTCGGCAACCAAAGAAGAAGAAGAAGACCACAGTTGAGACCATTGCTAGAAGAAAACGAGATCCCAACGGCATTGAGACTTGGAGAGTCTTTGGAATTGAAGTCCATCCGGATGCCTATTGCACCGAGGCACAAAACTATGGCACAGCTACTATTAATACCAGTACTGTCAACAACCACAACAATCACGACAATGCTACGATTCCCGTGGACAAACTATTTTTGACGCCACCCATCATTCAAGCCTTGCTGGATCGATTGGACCTTACTATTAATAATAAGAAGAAAAAAGATCAAGATCAACAACAACAGCAGTATCCTTCGTCTACCATTCGAGACATTCGAGTCGTTCGACGGTCTTTGGATGCCCGTAAGAAACGACGCGGTGGTCAAGGGGAAGGCGGTCCACGCTATGTCTTTGTGCTCGATGTCGATATCCATGCCAGTTACACCAAGTACTTTCAAGAACAGTCGGGACGATTGGAATTCATGTCGTCATCGTTCACATCTGCAGACGACAACAATGACGCCACGAATACCCCACCACCACCAAAGAACGACGACAACTCACGCAACCCAGCCACAACAATAAAAAACAAGAAGAAACGCGTCATTATCGTGGGAGCTGGTCCTGCCGGACTCTTTTGTGCTCTTACACTCGTAAAGAATGGTGTCACACCCATTGTCCTGGAACGAGGATTGCCCGTCGAATCGCGTGGCAAATCCATTGGTGCCCTCATTCATCGGTCTCAAATGGACCAAGAGAGCAATTTTGCCTTTGGCGAAGGCGGTGCCGGGACGTGGAGTGACGGGAAACTCACGACACGGATTGGTCGCAATTCTCACAACGTTCGCACAGTGTTGGAGACGTTCGTGCAGTACGGTGCGCCCGAAACGATTTTGGTGCATGGCAGTCCTCATTTGGGTACGGACAATCTGGTCAAGTTGTTGCGCGCCATGCGATTGGATTTGAGACGCATGGGCGGTGAGATCGTCTTTGGAGCCAAAATGACAGAGTTGATTGTGGATCATCAAGAAGAGGGTGTCACGAAAGGAGTCAAATGTACCAAAAGTGGAGAGGCCATGGAACGACATGTCAACCAGGATTCTTCATCATCATCATCATCATCCTCCTTTTATCCAGAATGGTTGCAAAATGATAGCGGAGAAGACAAAACGACAACCATCATGGGAGATGCGGTCGTCTTGGCGACGGGACACTCGGCACGAGACGTTTACGAAAAACTACATCAGGATGGAGTCAAACTAGAAGCCAAGGGATTTGCCGTCGGATTTCGGGTCGAACATCCACAAAAAATCATCAACAAGATTCAATATGGCAACGAATGGGGCATGTCCGTCATCACTGGCAAAAAGACCACCGATGCGGAAAATGACAACTATTTCATGGCAAACAACAACAATGACGATGCCCAACGACGACAACACCCGGGGCAGTTGCCCGTGCCATCCTATCGACTGGCGACCAATCATGCCAAGGATGGAACAACCGACAACGACAGCAATGGCAACAATAATCATAATGAGCGAGGTGTGTATTCCTTTTGCATGTGTCCGGGTGGACAAATTGTACCCGCGTCCACGGACCCCAACGAAGTGTGCGTCAATGGCATGAGCTTTAGTCGACGCGATTCCACATTTGCCAATTCGGCATTGGTCGTCACAGTAGACCCGGAGGATGCCATTTTGGACGAGTACCGACAAGACCATGGTGTGTTGGCCGGTGTGGCCTTTCAGAGAGATATGGAACGACGCGCATCGTTGTTGGGTGGCGGCAACCTGACCGTCCCCGTGCAACGCGTGACCGACTTTTTGGCCGGTACCGCTTCCACATCGGCCCCACCGTCATCGTACCGATTGGGCGTCAAACCAGCCGCCTGTCATGAAATTTATCCTCCGCCACTCGTCAACTCGTTGCGAGATGCATTGGAACATCACTTTGAACGGCAAATGCCAGGATTTGTCTGTGAGGATGCGCTCCTTCATGCGGTGGAAACCAGAACTTCCAGTCCTGTGCGAGTTTCTAGAAATGCCGAAACCTTGGAGGCAGAGGGTACCAAACAGCTCTATCCGGCCGGTGAAGGAGCAGGGTTTGCTGGTGGAATCGTTTCCGCAGCAGTGGATGGGATATGTGTAGCCAATGCCATTCTGGAGAGAGTTCTAGCCAGTAGCGAAAGTGATAACTAGGCTGACAATAAGGAACAATAAAGGGTGTGTAACTTTCATCACTTTAAAAGTTAGACTAAATGAGTACTGACCAACAAAGAAGAGGATTATTGTTGGTTGGAAAACGGGCTGCGCAAATTGTGCAGGAACCACTCAGGCCGGGATGAAACCACAGAATTCATGATGACGACGGATCATGCATGGTCGCAACCAAATACTTTTATGAAAATGTGGAACCCAAAACTTCAAGCCAAGGATGCGCAGCAGAAAACAGGGCTCGGGGCTTTACGAGTATGCAGGATGTTTCATTTGTCACAGTGAACACATGGCTTTAGCATGTTGCAAAGAATACCTGCATACAATCTTAGTCCTGCTCAAACCAACGAGGCATTGGAACATGCACAATCACATCCACACAACTTAGAACTGCAATCAAAACCAAGCAAGCAATAAGTGCAAGACTCATGCTGCAAAAAGCAGAGCTCATCAGGGATCGTGCCAGACAAGCCATGGTTGTTTGTGAGATTCAGAAACCGCAAATTTGGCAATTCTCCAACAAGGACAGATGGCAGGGCTCCAGCCAACTCATTTTGATCCAAATGTAGGAACTTCAAAGCACTCAGTTGAGTTAACTCTGAAGGAATTGCCCCAGAAAGACGATTCTTGCTGGTTTCAATGAGTTCCAGCCTTGTCAATAGTCCAATCTCAGAAGGGATCTGCCCAGTGAAATCATTGTGATCCAACCATAAAGTCAAAGAAGTCAAATGACCAATCTCAGAGGGAATCTTGCCAGACAGCCGATTATATCGCAACACTACCGAATCCAAAGCAGTCAAATGTCCAAGCTCAGAGGGAATCTTGCC